GTCATACTGAGCTGTTCTAAGTGCTTAGCAAGCATTTGCTGTGTGTACACATTCTCAGTCTTACAGCAAAGCACAAAGTAGGTTTTAGCATCCCACTTTACAGAGAAGGAGGCAGGCTCAGAGGGAAGGCCTCACTTGCTCAAAGTCACATGGGGAGTCAGCAGTGCTGGGCGGTAGGCTCAGGTCTGAGAGACTCCAGCCCAGCTAGGTCCTCCCTTGCTCCCTAGCTGTGGAGACAACCAACTTCTCAGTGAAAATGTGGGGGTCGGGGTGGGATGTTACATCTGTTGAGGGGGAGTGAGGCAAGGTAGTAGTGTGCAGAGTTTTCCTGGGGGTATGTGTTTTCAGGGGAGCGTGGATTGGGGTAGGGGTTGGATGATAGCTATTCCAGCATGTGCCCAGGGCTGAGTTCTTTTTCTGCTGACCATATGCTGTGTAACTGTGGGCAGGCCCTGACGCTGTCTGTGCTTTCCTTTCCTCATGTTAAACAAGAGCCTCCCACTGGTCCTTGCTGGTTCTCACTGTTCAGGGAATCCAGAAGCTCCAAGTGCCCAACTCTTTTCATTTACTAAAAGAAACAAAGCCAAGACCCATGGAGTCCTGGCTGGGATTAAAGAAGGTCCCAAGGAGAAATGAATGTAGCCCCAGCATGGGGATGGACCCCTGGAGCCTTGGGCATGGCCTCACCTCAGCAAGCAGAGGTTAAGATGGAGTTAGGCGTCCACATGCAAAGAGGTGGGAGCAGGCTGTAGTGTGTGTGTGGGACCATCAGACTAAACCCAGGCCTTCACCCTAACCCAGCAGGAGGCTGATCAAAGACCACTAGAAGTCAGACTGGTAGAAGTGGCCAAGCCTCCGTGCCACAGTTGCTCAGCCATTGGCTGGTTCTCCACCTGCACCCTTCCTCATCCCCAAGAGTATGACCCGAAGCAGAGGATGCCTCTGTTGAACAGCTGGGCAGCAAGCCATTTCCTTCAGGAAGACCCCTGAACATCATCTGGTCATTACTGTCTGGGGGTAAGGGTCTCTGTCACCTACTGCTCCAGAATGGGAAATCCAGGGATTAGTGTCCTCTGCTCCCATAGACATAGGAAAGGCCTAGTGGGAACAGGTCATCTCTGAAAGGAACAGGTTAGAGTCTGTGTGCGTGTGTGTGTGTGTGTGTGTGTGTGTGTGTGTGTGTGTCTGTCTGTCTGTCTGTCTGTCGGTCTATGTGCATATGAAGGATGCAGTCTGCACCTATGCTTATGCCTGTGTGTGCACATGCATGCACATGTGCAGTACCCTGTCTCTTTCTGGCATTCAGAAGGAGGCTGCCATTTTAGCTTTAGGCAGCCCTGGCAGGGGGTGGCTTGATTTGGCCACTTAGGCCTAGTCCCGAGGAAGCGGACTTGCAAAGTAACAGCTTAAAAGGCCACTTCTGGGCAGGAACAGAGCCACCCAACAGCAGCAGCCACAATCCAGATTTCTGGAGCCCTGACTATGCCTGGTGGAGGGCTCAGTTCATTCCCAAATAGTTTAATACTTAACACAAATGCTGGACCAGGCAGTGTGACTCTGCCCTTTCTGTAGGTAAGAATATTTCATGTCCCCAAAGTCCTAGCTAGCCAGGGAAACATTCATCCATCCCACGATTCATTCAATAGTTTCTTTATTCAGCACCTATGATGTGCCAGGCAAAATGAATAAATACAAGCAGACTTCATTTTGGGGTCAGAACATTCTAGAGCACAGGGCAGGGATAAAGATTGTTGGTGGGTTGGTGACACTGGCTCAGTTCCTCCTGCCTGAGGAGTGTTCAGAGGTGTCAGATGGAGACTGAACTTCTAGAGGTGGCCATGTGGGTCTCGGGCCCTGGCAAGGGAATCTGTAAGGAGCCGGGTGAAAGTGTGTGCCAGGGCAGGGGGAAAGGGGCCTGCTCTGGCCCTGCACTTTGAGTCCTGGTTGCTCTCCTCCCACCTGCTGGCCCCAGGTCCAATTAGAGGTGATCAGCGTGAGGCAGGAGTGAAAGTCCCTCAAAACCATAAATGCCTGAACCCATTCAGAACCTGGGGCTCAGAATCTTCATTTTCAGCAGATGCCCCCACTGGGTGCCTGACATGCAGTGGAGCTTGGGTGTCTGTGTCTGAACACCCAAGTTGCAGTAACCACCTGGAGTCCTTGCAGCCCTGTCTACAGTAGGCAGAATTGTTATAGTATACTCTTGGCAGAGAAACAAAGGCCCTGATCCTCTCCTCACTTGTCTCCCCCGCCCAACGGTGCCCCACCCTCCGCCACCTTCTCACTTGTGCCAGGCAGAGCAGCCTGGCAGGTGAGGCAGAGGATCTAGATTATTTTGTAATTTTTACGCAGGCTATGATTCCTATGCTTTTGGCTTGGGATCTCAGGAATGTGGCTCAGGAGTCATAGTCAGGAGTGGAAGGGTCTGGGCCCTGGCAAGACACCTGGGAGCGAGGGGCAGGGTGTAGGATGATGAGGGAGACTCACCCCCTAAGTGAATCCCAGGGATCAGGCTGTTCACATACAGGTTTCCTTCAGGCAGCCTTGGGGAACCATGGGCTGTGCCCAATGAGCTGAGTCTGAGCAGACCAGGGTGATTTCCCAGTGAGGAGGTGGGCTTAGGCTGCACCAGGGGTATCTGGGGCCCCCGGTATCCACTGCATCTTTAGCACAAGCCTGTTCCCTGAATCCCTGTGGGTGCTCTAAGTTCTGCTGGCTCAACAGCAGATGCCACACAGGTTCAGTCTTCATGCCCTCCCTGCCCATCAGGCCCCTGGTAAACAGGCAGGGGTGGTCCCCTTTCTCAGACCCTCCTTGAGGTTCTTCTCCTTGGAGGCCTGTATCAGCCCCATCACTGTTGCTTCTGCTCCAATTGGCATCTTCAGAGTCTCTGACTGCACATGCCTGAGGGAGGAAGCTTCCCACCTGTCTCCCACTCTGGACTGAGGGGGTTGAGGCCTGGGCTCTGTCCAACCCTTCCTCTCAGGCCCAGCAGGGTGCAGCCTGCCCCATGGGTCCAGTGACGCGGGCCAGCAGTGGGGAGGCTGCCTGGGCTGGGGGTGAGCCAGGACCTGTGGAGGCCCCTCTGTCCAGGCCAGATGGCTACTGGCTGCAGTGGGATGGGCTGCCAGTGCCTCAGGTCAGTGTTCTGGTTGGAATGCTTTACTTGCTCTGTCCAGCCAGGCCTGTAGCCGCTGTTTACCGAAATATGCTTCTTCCCTATGAATGAGATTCTGAGGTGCCCATCTACTCTGACCATGAACTTGAAGGAAGCAGCTTGGGCAGTGGAGCCTTTCCTCATGGAGTTTCCCTGTCCTCCACAGTTCAAGTGGGATCAGTGCTTCATTCATTTGTTCATTCATTCATTCATTCATTCATTCATTCATCCATCTCACCAACAAACAGAAATCAAATGCGTCTAACATGCCAGGCCCTGTTCTTGGCCTGGGAATAATACCTATGAACAAGGGTGACAAGGTCCTTGTACTCACAAAGCTGAACTCCGCAGTGAAGGAAAAAAAAAACCTAAAAAGCAAAGTGTACACGGATGTGATCAAGGCCAGGGCACTTCAAAAGGGGCAATGAGGCCTCCTTGTGGAGGGATGGAAGCCTGTGTACCTCCTCCTCAGTGCTGGGCATTGGTGACCCCCCCCCCACAGCCACTTCCTTCAAACCTATTAACCCCATAGTAGGTAGTTAGTTTTTGCTACAGATAAACTAAGCATGGAGAGGTTAAGTCTTCTGCTGAGTGACTGACTCTAAGTCAATGTAGAGCTGAGATCTCTGGGTCTATGGCTCTAACCACTGTCCCACACTCCCTTTTGGGACATGAACCCTCTCTTCCAAACAGTTCTTCCTTCAGGAGGGCTTCCCTCACCTGAGTCCACTTGCTCTAATCAAACAACTTTTTTTTCTTGCTTTTTTTTTTTGAGACAGGGTCTCCCTGTAGCCCCAGCTGTCCTGGAACTCACTATGTAGACCAGGCTGGCCTCAAACTCACAAAGATCCACCTGCCTCTGCCTCCCAAGTGCTGAGATTAAAGGCGTGCACCACCACGCCCGACCTCAGACAATTTTTAAATACACTATATGGTCTAAAACCCAGTGGGGTCCTAAGGAAGTCATCTTGTTCATACCCCTGCCTCCAGAGGACACATTTTGTGGATTGAACTACTGTGTCCCAAAGAGCCCTTCCCATTGTTCAGAGCCAGTGGGAACTGGCCGTGAGCTGCCGTACTTTCTACCCTAGCCCCATTACTCCATGCTCCTATTTTCAGGTTGATTCTTGCCTGGCTTATACTCCTGCTCTTCTTCCAGATGACAGCCCCCCCCCGCCCTCCACCACATGCCTACCACTTCAGGGGGAAGCTCAGTAGGGGTATACTCAGTGTCTCATTCAGCAGGGGCACACTCAATGTCTCAGGGAGGGGGCTGAGTGCGGGAAGGCACAGGTCTTGGAGCTGCAGAGCCCATGTGAACTGAGGCTAGAAGGAAGTATCAGGATTTCCCGGGTTAGGATCTTTTTGTTTGAAATGGGAAGGGCATCCCAGCCAGAGGCAACAGCACATACAAAGAGGGAGAGAATGTGGAAGGACCAGAAAGCAGCACAGGGTGATGGTGCTGAGGATGGCAGGGGTGGGATGCGTCGCTACTTGCCATGCTAAGGAGCTCGGGCTCTGGCTTGAGGAGCCAGGCATGCAGGCAGAGGGCAAGTATCTGCCTAGGGAGCTCTGAAGGGGCAAATCCTGAGTAACCTTGTCATGTGATCTTTCTGAGCTTCAGTTTCCTTGTGCACAATTTGGAGGTGGCGCCAACCCACGAGGACCTTCCTGGCCTTGCAAAGACTTACTCTGGGACCCCTTTCCTCTTACAGTCCTAACAAACAAAGAGACTCCTGAGGAAGATAGGGAGTTTCTCTAATGCCCGATCTCTTGTCCCATGTGGCTTTGCTGTGCAGTGTTCCGGAAGCTCTTTGAGAGGCCCAGGTCCTGGGGGCTCCATTTACAGGGGAGCCTGGGTTGACAAGCTCTTCTTTACCTTCAAGCCCTTTCTCTTGTGGAGTCCCATCCAAGACAGGTTGACATCGTGGGCCTGGGCCTGGGTGTGGATGTGGCCCAGCTCCGAGGGTGGGATCAGTGGTTTCAACATGGCCAGCGGCATCAGCTCTTCCAGGGCCCTGGGGGAGCCAGAAGGCAGCTCATCAGGATCTAGGTTGGCGTCACTCCAGCCTTCCGAGCTCTCACTGTGGCCCTCTGGACTGGTGGCTTCATCCTCAGATAGGGTGACCATCTCAGCCATGTCATCTCCAGGGTTGCTGTCTAAGTCTCCTGATTCTTGGTTGGTGGCCTCTTCAAACCCATTGGCTGTACTGGAATCTGGTACAACCTCCTGCTTCAGCTTGGGGCCTGTTGCTGAAGCAATGCAGGGCTCTGCTGAAGGCCTGGCAGATGTCTTAGCTCTGCCCTGGCTGGTCCAGAAAAGGGAGAGCTCTTGGCGGCAGGCAGCCACAGCGAGGCTGGTAAGCAGGGTGCTGGACACTAAGTAGAGCAGGGCAGGCTGGCCCATCTCCATGAGGACCATGGCGACGAAGGTAATCAACAGGCCCACAGCATAGGCCATTGTGCAGGCCACATAGTAGATCTGACGGGAGTGAACTTGCATGTCAAAGCGGTGACAGTAAGCCACCAGGAAGCCAGGGATTACAATGTCACCAAAGCCAAGGATGGAGAAGGGCTGGTCACACAATGTCAAGGCTGAGAAGCTCAGCCGGGGCACTTTGAGTACCATGGGCAGCCTCTTGTGGCTTGAAGAATCTGCAGGGCCTGATGCTACCTTCACCATGATGCTCTCTCCAGTCTTGGTGAAAAGAGGTGTGACAAAGACAAAAAAGACATCAAAGGCTAACAGGGCCAGCAGGAAGGAGGTACAGTTCTTAAGTGTAGGCAGCCGCACGCGTCGCAGGACAAAAAGGCAGTAGGAGACACCCAGGGTGTCCTGTAGGAGCCACACCCAGTGGTCATCATTACGGTAGACAACCCAGAGGAGGGTCACCACAGTACACAGGCCTGCCAGGAACAGCAATGGCAGCCGTATATAGGTCCGGTGGCCTGGCAGATGCCACTGGTATTGCTGCAGGGGCAGGTGGTGCACCATGGGTGCCAGACAGCTGTAGAGGCCAGTACTGGCACCCAGGCCAAAGATCCCAACCATGACGTAGACAAAGCAGTCATAGAAGAAGTACAGCAATATCATGATGGAGCAGGACATGGTGACAACAGTACCCATCATGGCTGGAGTGAAGTCTACAGGGGCATCCTCATTGTCTTCATCTTCCTGGTCCCTCTGGGGTCTCCCAGCTGCCACTGCTTGCTGCTGATTGTGGCCATCAAGCCCCGCTCCTCCTCGGGCCCAGCGCCTCTGCAGTCTGTCTGCCTCCATCAGGCCAGCCCAGTAGCCGCCCACAGCAACAGTGCCCACTGCTAGGAAGAAGATGACAGCCATGTTATAGTCAATGATGGGCTCTAAGGGCGCATACATGGCTACACGGACGTTGGTGTCACCATGAGTGTGGCTGAGGATGTCCAGCATGTCGGTATAGCGGAGCACAGCCACTGGGATGGTGAGGCCTGGTAGTGGCTTGCTGGGGTCCTGGGACTTTGAAGTGGTGTCTGAACACTGTTGGTCACTAGCCTGGCTCACAATGAGCAGCCCGTGGGCACCTTGTTCCTGAGCCAGCCATCCCTTGGCATAGAAGCTGCAGTTGCCATGCATCACCATGGTGGTAGTCTGGTGGAGGGGCTGCTGTCTTGGGGAGCTGGCCTGGGCCTGGTGGAAGGTGTCCTGTCCTGGACACCATGATGTCTTGGTGCCATCATGCAGGGGCAGCAGTGGGGCATGCTGCAGTTCCCTGGGGAGGGTGACGTAGTCAGAGCTGTATAGGACACAGTAGTCTTTGCTCCAGTTCTTTGACACGACGTGGACCACCCCATATTCCCCCTGGGCCACAGGGCTGAGGAGGAGGAGGAGGAGGAGGAGAAGCGAGCCCATGGGGAGGAGGGAACACAGGCACACCATCTTCCTCAGCCATCTACTGTGTCCTCCTGAGGGGGCAGCTGTTCATAGCTCTATTCCCCTCCCAGAGGGAGGGTGTGGCCCTTTGTCACAGAGCAGCTTGGCTACCTGTCCTGGAAACCAGGGCCACACCTATGTTGTCATAAAGTGGCCAAGGACACTGCGGTGGGACACAGGGTCCCTTTCAGGACCGTGTTCCCAATCCTGGTTCCAGTAAGGAGGTCATTTGAGATCTTGCCCTTTCTCAGGCCCCAGTGGGGCTAGGTCAAGGTAACCTGAGGTAAGAGGCGTATGGGTGAGCTAGAGACCCAGGCAGGACTCCGGACCAGCTTTGCCCTTGCCTTTTGGATGTCTGAGGCAGGCCAGGTCACTTTTCTCTTTGGACTACTTTATTTTATTTCATCTTATTTTATTTATTTTGTGTGTGGTATGTGTATGCATATGTGCGTATGTGTGTGTTCAGAGGACAGAGGAGGACATTGGGCACCATCCTCTTCATTGCTCTATCAGCCTCTGCCTATTCCCTTGAGACAGGGCCTCTCACACAACTTAGAGCTAAGCCAGCAGTCAGCTAGCCCAAGAGATCTTCCTATCTCCACTCCTCACAGCTCTGGCATTACCTGGGTGCTGGGAACCCAAACCCAGGGTCCTCTTGTTTGTACAGCAAGCATTCTTACCTACTGAACTATCTCCCCAGCCCCTGGACTTGTTTCTTTAGCTACAAAGAAATGGGGGCAAGGGACCAGTGCAGCCTCCAGGCTCCAGAGCAATGAGCTCCGTGGTGAGCCAGGTAGTTTATCTGTAGTCATGGCAACTCTGTGATATGTATCCAGTTGGGGTTTGCAAGCTGTCCTTTTAAATCAATCCCCCTATCTACTTGCACATGACTAGACTTCATCTCTAGCCTTCCTCTCAGCATTGGATGAAGGACTGTGGAGCTTTTTGGTCACTCTCTCCCTTTCTTGCAAGTCAGGGGAAGGACAGGACTGTGACAAGGGATACAGTGTCGAAGGGTTAGAAAGTGAAGAGCTTGAGGTCCCTGAACCACTGCATGGAGCAGCTGTCTGGTATTCTTGCTGTGCTTCCAGAGGGAATGCATCATCTTCCATAATAAGCCATTTGCTTGTTGTGGGCTTCCTTGTTATAGCAACTCAACCTTACCAGATACCACCCACATCATAGAGGAACACAATAGATTCAGAGCAACTGAAACTGACCAGTCTAAGAAGTCTGGGGGTTCTTGTATTAGTTAAATTACTGGACTTTGATGTCTCATATACCTTTTGAGGCAGAGTCTAAGTTGGATTCCCTGCTTTTCTTCTGAGACTGGGTTTAGAGCTGGATTTGAATTCAAGGCCCCTAGGTACCGGCTGGGCAGGTTTTCACCCCAGCCAGGGCTCATGCCCTCTCACAGGTTACCCAGATATCCTATCCAGGCTTCCTTAGGCCACACACAAAAGGAGTACATTTGAAGATGTTAGGGCAGTTGGTATGTGCAGGAGGCACCCTAGGGCCCCTGGAATCAGAAGAGACGACGTCGGGCTAGAGTGGCCATCCGGGCTCCTATGTTCCCATACTTTTCCTGCTGGCCTGTGGCCATCCTCTGCCACTCAGTGGCTGGCACTCAGGTCCTTTTCCCTGTGACACTGTGACAACTTCACTGCTTGAGATGAGGTCTGTCACCAGCTACTGGCACAGCCTCCTGGCATGTGAGCAAGGATTCTGTTCGGGGTGGGGCCCAGGTCCAAGGCTTGAGGAGGTGTGGGCACAGCAGAGACTCTCAGCATGGGTTTATGTTCCAACTCTGGGCCCTAGGTCAACCCAAGCACAGCTTTCCAGCCCCAACTTGAGGCCTCTTGGCCCTGCTTTTCTCCCCCCCCACCCTTTCTTTCTTTTCTTCTTTCTTTCCTGGTGCTGGGAATTGAAACTCAGGCCTCATGTATGTTAGGCAAGGACTCAATCACTGATGAACTGTACCCCAGCCCTGCTAATCTGCTTTCTACCCCCAACCCCCTGACAGTGTGACCCATGCCACTTGCTGCTTGACCATGTCATTTGGACTTTGACTCCAACGTCATCTCTATCACCCCCAGAAAAAGAGCCAGCCCTCTTCTCAGCACACAGCTACCACTATGCAGATTTTACTTCCTGAATAGCATTTAGTACATATGTGCCTGCCTGGTAAGTTCTGGCTCCTACTGGAGATGCATTAGATCCATGAAACAGGGACCCTGTTTGCTCTACTCACTGTTCTAAGCTTCCCAAGTGAAAAACAATGCTCAGGAAATATGTGTGGGATGCATGAGTTAGTGACTGGATTTATGGTCATAGGACTGAAGCTTGGGGCAGTTAGGGAACTTTCCCAAGGCTCCACTTGAGATTAGGAGTCACATTCCCAATCCAAGCTGCTGGATGGCAGAGCTACTGGCTAATCTGTTATCGCTGCAGATAGTGCCCACTCAGGGGCTGTGGGAATGGTGGTACTAAAGACTAGGTGGGAGGTGGACTTATTGAAAAAGTTGATGGAAAAGGGAAATAATTAAAAGTCCCATATTGGGGCTAGGGAGATGGCTGAGTGGGTAAGAGAGTCTGCTCTGCAAGCATGAGGACCTGAGTTTGAATCCTCTACAGTCATGTAAAAAGCTAGGCATGACTATGTGTGCCTTTAACCGAAGCATTGAGGGGTGGTGACAAATGGCTCCTGGGAGCTCCCTGGTCAGCATCAGGTTCAGTAAGATACTCGGTCTCAAGGGAATTAGGCAGGGTGTGATAGAGGAAAACATTGGATGTCCTGCTCTGGCCTCCACATGTATGCTCATGGGTGTGCATACCTCCCACAGACACTACATACACCCACCCACCCACAGACACACACAGACGCACACACACATACACACACACAAACACACACACACACACAGTTTCCTACCTATTTTATAAATTTATTTTTTCTGTGTATGAGTGCTTTACCTGCATGTAAGTATATCATGTGTACAATGCCTGTGGAGGCCAGAAGAGGACATCAGATTCCCTGGAACTGGAGTTAAGGACAGTTGTTAGCTACCACAGGATGCCGGGAACCAAATTCCAGTTCTCTGCTAGAGTAGCCAGTATTCTTAACTTCTGAGCCATCTCTCCAGCCCCTCCTACCTATTTTATGCATTGCATTAGTTCCTTGAACTTCTCTGAATGAATGATCAGGAACCATATGGTTTAAACCAACAGAAATGGAGGCCATCTTTGAGCAAGATGGCTCAGCGATAAGAGCACTTGTCACACAAAGTCTGACAACTTGAGTTACATCCCTAAGACCCACAGGTGGAAGGAAAGAACCTACTCTTGCAAGGTATCTTCTGACCTTACACATGCACAATGGCACATATGCATCCTTCCCCCAATAAATAAAGTATAATAATAATAATGATGATGATGATGATGATGGTGATAAGAACTCCAACGGAAATGGAGCCAGATATGGTGGTGCATACCTATAACCCCAGCATGGGGGAGGCAGAAGAAGGAAGATAGTAAGACTAGTCTAGGCTACACAGACAGACCCTATCTCAACAACACCCTTCTCACCACACACACACACACACACACACACACACACACACACACAAAACTGGAAACACATTCTTTCCTAGTTCTAGAAGGTGTAAGTGGGCTATGGACTGAAAGTTTGTGTCTTCTAAAGCCTGGCTCACATTGTGGTGGCAGGTGATTAGTTCATGGCACTCGAGCTTTCTTGTGGGATTAGAAGCCACTGAAGAAACCCAGGGGGAGATAAGCTCTCTGTTAGCCTTGCGAAGACACAGTGAGAAAGGGGCCCTTTCCAAATAGGAGGGAGAGTCCTCACCAGGACCTGAATCAGGGGGCACCTTGATCTTGGACTCTCAAGCCTCCAGCTTCTTGAGGAATAAAGACCTGTTGTTTAAGCATCTTGTCTGTTGTACCTGATAGCAGCCTCAACTGACTACAGTCCAAAATCAAAGTGTCAGCAGGGCCCTGAGCCCGAGAATCTAGGTAATGTTCTTGCTTACTTCTTTCTAGGTGGCAGTCACCTGGCTTGTGGTGAGTCACTCTGCTAGCTGTCACTGTCACGTGGCATTCCCCTTGTCTGTGTCTCCCTGTCTGTGTCTGTGTCACCATGGCTTACAGCCCACTTTATCTTAACTTGATTACATTGCAAAGATCTAGTTTAGCTTACACCAGTGAGAGGAGATGAAAGGCTTCCCCAGAACTTGACTCCAGATTCTTTGAAGTGGAGGTTCTGTTTAAGGGACCTTGTAAAGTGGTTAGCAGGCAAGCAGACCCTGTCTAGAATTTGACCTTCCATTCCCCTATTTATGTTTGTCTTACCAACACCTAATTTGACAACTATTTTTTTGTGTGTGATTCATTTAAATTGTCTTTGAAAGCATTCAACTGAATTTTCATGAGAAACATTTCTCCTTGTTTGTGCATTTCTGATTTATCTATTAATGTCACATTTAATTACAATACAAACAGTAATTACAATGACAAGTGAACTGTCAGAAACACATTAGGGAGCCAACACAACTGACTGGCGACTTGCCACCAGCTGGTAGGGGAAATGTTCAGGGCCTAGGGAGGGTGCTGCCAGTGACCCCTCTGGTCCTCCCAAAGTATCTTACTTCAGAGGGGGACTGATGTATTGGGAAGGGGCGCTGGGGGTAGAGGGAGGGTCAGTGTGCACAGGTCTTACCACTGCATGTGACAGTGCCTCCTCTGATGCTGGAGAGCCAGTTGCGACCAGCTCCTGGGGCACAAGGTGGAACACTGAAAGCCATTTGAAATTGCCTGGATTTTTATCCAGCCATGCCAATGCCGAGTGCCCTCAGGTGGACCTCTTATCTGCCCTGGGCTCCACTTTCCTCATTTGTTAGATGGGGATAGCAGCACCTGCTTCCCAGGGTTGAATGAAGGGCCTTCTGATCCATATGTGTGAGGCCTTGGTACACTGACAGTAATGCCTGGGATCAGGGTTGCTGCAGAGAGTACCCCCTGCCTCTCCCTACCCCTCCCCTGTTGGACCCAGTGTTGCCAAACAGGTAAGTTTGAAGTCTAGGTTGGGGAGAGATGGATGAGATGCCCTGAATTGGAGGCCAGTGGCACCTGTGCAAGGGGCTGGACAGGGCCTGGGTAGGGAATACAAGCCACTGACAGTGGCTTCTGGTGACCTGGGCTGTGTGTTTGAAGCAAAGCATCATTTTAAGGAGGTGGGGGGTGGAGAGGGGAAGAGGCGCATAGCCTGGATCACTCCTCCTCAGCTGGTCTGGCAGCTGGACACTGCTGGACATCACCAAAGATGCCATCCTCATGTGAACACATCTAGATCAGCCCGAGACACTGTGTCATCCTGTCTGCCTCCTTGCCCCAGTGCTGTTTTGTGGATCTTGGCTTCCTAATCCAAGGCCTGAGGACTCCAGGCAGCTTAGGAGAAAAGAACCCCAGAGTGAAGCCAGGCCTTCCATCCCAAGGGAGTGGCTAAGCCTCTGTTCTCTCCACTGAAGAATGGGCTGTGTTCCCAGGAGTTAAATATTTAATGGTGGCAAAGCAATCTGCAGGAACCCCAGTTAAGGTATGACTATCTGGATTCTAGAACCTTCTTTCCTCCCTTCCCACAGGGTGGTTCTTCCAGATCTACCTGCTCCTCATTCTTAGCTCCAGGACAAATGCCTCATAAATACAGAGGCCTGCTGGGAAGCCAGGACCCCAAGGCAGGACCTGTATTGCCCTTAGCTAAACTAGAAAACAGGGTAGCCTTTTCTGTTCTGCATCCCAAGAGGGTCTCAGAAGAAATGGGATCCTTTGCAAGGGGCCGGAGGGGGGACACTTTCAGGAGACTGGGTCTTCTAGGAGTGGCATGGAGAGACATTCTTCTGGACACGAGGGTCAGGCCTGTCCTGAGGTCACAGAGGGCCCCATGACTCTAGTGGCAACTGTCAGACCCCTCCTCACAGTCAGTGGTGTGTATCAGGCCACTCATGCCCAGGGGGGCCTTCCCCATCCAAGCTAAACCTCAGAGAAGAACGGGCCTTGATTTCTGTTGAAGGGCCTGACTAGATACTGCCCTGAAACCTGGAACACAGGCTTGGCAATGTTAAACTCTGAGCCCTTGGCCCAAGGACAGGCTATAGCTCCTCCTGGCTCAGAGGTCCCACTGTCCCCTGAAGCAGCCTTCCTTCTTTTCAGCCTCTGGATGAGAGGCCCACCCCTCAGCTTGACAAGCCCGACACCCAGGAACACCTTTCTAGCTTCTCTGAGACTGCAGACCCTCAGCGTCCCCCTCCCTGGGACACACCATGGCACAATATTATGGGATAATTGGCTCTTCTGCTCAGGGTGAAGAGCAGAATGGCAAACCATCTCTGTGTGGCTATTTGATACCGGCCACTTCAGGTCCCTCCAGTCAGCTGGATGCACTATTTCTTGTTCCCCCCAGTCCACCCTCAGTTTCTCAAATTGTTCAAGAAGCCATCAGCTTATTCTTGTTCTGGCGTTCTGTGGACCTCCTACCCCCTACCTCTACTTAAGGACACAGAGCTTAAGGAGTTGGCAGGGCGGGGTATGCCATATGTCCTTCAAGGGTACCTCAGCTGCTCCTCCCACATGGGACCCTCTGACTGCAGCAGGAGCTGCAGAGCTCTTGGACCACAGTCAGTTTGCTACTGGCATCTTCATGGCAACATGCCCTTGTATGCAACTATGCGCACATGTGTGTATGTGCATGCACAGGTGACCCTCTTCCCTGGTCAGAGACCCAGAGGCAGGGCTCAGGTGGCACTGGGGCTTTCATGGGGGTCTGGTGTTCCATCTGTCCCCACTGAGCTTACAAGGCAGCACATGATGCTTTCCAGAGGTCTACGGAGCGTTGGGTCTGACAGCTCAGTGGCCACAGGGATGAAGCAAATGCAGAGACACTGATGCCCCTGAGAGCAACCCTCAACCAGTGAGTGATGGGAGTTGGTGGCTAAGTACCCTAACTCAGCTCCTTTGCTCCCTATTCCAGGCTCCTCAGCAGGTCCAAGTGCTAGCTGCTTGCAGAGGTGCTAGTTTGTCATGTGATCTTTCCCTCTGCCTCCTTGCTTGGCTTTACCCACCTTTCGTCCAGCTTAGAGTTTGCCCTAGAAACCTTGCTTCTGTGCCTCCTCAGTTCCACCACCTGCTTCTCCTCCCCAGGGCTGGGGTCCACTCCTGCTTTGTCCCATTGCTACATTTCTGCTCTGGCTATCTGTCTCCTGCCCATGGTAACCTCCCCTGCATCAGTAACCCATAACAGTTCCTTCCGGGTCTTGTCTCCTTACCAAGATTTCTTGGTCACACCCATCCTCAAATCTAGGGTTCATGCCCAACCTCACCTCCAGGCCTCAGGCTCATCTTGGATGGTATGAGTGGTATCAGGTTTTCTGCCATGCAGTGACCCCCTAAAGGCCACTTCTTAGAGGCACCCCTCCCCAACCCTTCCCTCAGTAGAGTGCAAGCCTTCACAAAGGTAGTTGAAAAGATAAATATTTATATCACTCCCACCCCAGTCCTGCTGTGGCTGCCTAGACTACTGACATGGTGAGGGCTAGGCCATCCCATGCCTAGGAGTAAGGGGTCTGCCAAGTTAGCCTTCCCAGGATATAACTTTGTGAGCCTGTCCCAGAGGCCAGCCACCGAAGCCAGCAGCCTGGGGTCCCAGGGCCCTCTCCTTCCTTGAAGGCTGGGCACACGCTGGTTCTTCCTCACAGACAATTGGTGAGCTTGCAACTCAGCCCCATCTTCCCACAAATCAGAAGATGCCCAGAGACAGGAGGTGGCAGGAGTCAGGGTGAGGGGACTGTTGCTGTCAGTAGATAAGTGAAGGAAAGCTAGAGTGGCCTGCAAGATAGTAAAAGTCTAAGGGTTCAAGGCAGCAAAGCAGGGCTTCCAATTGGCAGTGCCACAGAGCTGATGACATTTTGGTGGCTCAGGAGTGGCTTCTAGGGAGTGGAGTGATATCTGATGATGTCACCAGATTCCTAATGCTATCCTCCAGGGGTGCTGACCAGATCATGTAGTGCTGGTTCTCAGTAGTGTCCAAAGGTATCATGATGCTCAGATACAAGTTTCCCATGATGCCCTGGGGGTAGTGAGTGGCTTATAGCTACTGAGGACTCCAGATCTTCAGTGGGCTGCTCTGAAAGAAGACAGCTCTTGCCACCCCCACCCCAGCAAGCTGCTGCAGGGTTCCCACCCTCTGGCAGCAGGGAGCCAGAGGCCCTGGGCCCAGCCCAGTGCTGAGTTATTGTCCACTGCTGGGCAGGGGCAGGCCTTCCCAGGTGCTCAGATCTATGGCTCAGGTGTAAGAGTGGGAATGCTGGCTGCCTTTGCAGACAGGCTCACTGGTGAGCTTGCATCATCTCCCAAATCTCAGGTCTCAGGGACTGCTGTGTAGCCTGTAGCTCAGACTGCTGTGGACTGCTTGATGCTGTGGAAACTGACCCGGGTAGGAGAGGTGGGGATGGACATGGCACGAGCCACACGGGCTCTGATCGAGTGCTTGTCCTGCCACCGGTGCCACCTCTTCCGGATGGCAGAGCGGACCTGTGGGCAGAAGATAATATATGACATGGGAGCCCAGGTTCAGGACCCTCCCCTTCCCTGGGTTGCTACATCAGCTGTCCAAGTGTGCCATGCACAGGCCTTACAGTGGTTGGTGACATTCCCCTCATTAACATTGTTGGTTTGCTATTTGTCGGGCAGATTTTCTCAAGTGAGGGAACAACACCTTTTTCTAGTCTAACAAAGGTGTCATCTGGTCTTTACCATACAGAATCCCTACCCTGCCAGGTTCAGACCCCATGAGACTGAGACCCCAGTTTCTAGTCCCCCATGCTACACCTAAGATCAAAGGAGAGGAGGTCCCCACAGATACACATCAACAGGGACAGGGACTTCCCAGGGTTCCCAACAGGAGCACACAGGGACCTGGGAGCAGGAAGGACAGCTAGCCCAGGGCAGGAGGATGTAAGAGAGAGACAGATCCCAATTTTAGTGGTCTCAGCATTTGGAGCCCAGCCCTGGCCCTAGGTTCTCACCTCACTGTTGAGAAAACAGTAGAACACAGACACGAAGAAGCCCTGAGGGAAGAGGGGCAGTCAAAGATGAGTGGGTCCCCACCAGCTTAGGCTGCCCCAGGGCCTGCCAACCTGACAGACCTCTGCCATTAGAATTCCCACTCATGCTGGTGCAGACCTAACTCCCAGAGCTCGGGGTGCAGGGTCCAGGGTCCAGAGAGGATGGCAGTACCTGAAAGGACTCTAGGAAGGAGTTGAAGTAGATGAAGACAACCCGGGAGACCTCGTCCTCCCCAGGATTGACAAAGAACAGCATGTAGGTGATGCCCAGGAGGGGCAGCAGCACCAGAGTGGCCTTCACAGCTTTCCTAGGGTAGAGCGGAGGCCAGAGTCACAGACCACTCAGGAGGGGAAGGGCTGCTAGCTCTGGAGGGAGGGCTGAGCCTGGGAGAGGGAGAGGGTGGCAGGTCTCAGAGATGTCCCAGGTAGAGAAAGCTGCAGTTTCAGAAACAACTGGGATCTCTGAAGTACCCTTGGGGAGCCAGATACCTGTACTGAATGGTCTCAGACGTGGTGGATGCCCGGAGTTTGGTCATGAGAATGCGGACGATGTTGAAGAGAAAGATAAAGTTGATCTGCAATTAGAGCACACCAGCAGGGGTGGGGAGGGGTGGCAGAGATGTGTGCAGGAAATGGGGGTGGGTAGGGTGAATAGGTTGGGTCTTCAACCCTCCCAATGGTGGCCTGGGTGCCCCTGCTGATCTCTTGTCCTCATTAACACCTGCATAGTCCTGGCCCAGTGCCCCCCTTAGTGTGGTCCCACCTCTAGGCAGAAGATCCTTTCTGTCCATGGTAGGTAGACTGTCCCTCCCCTTGGTGGCCTGTCTACTGCTAGCTTCCCAGGGTCTTACCAGCAGGACCAGGATCATGGGGCCCTGGTAGATGTAGTCGGTGTACACCCCAGGTCGTTTGCCAAACCAGCACCTAGAGGGCCACAGAGGGCAGGGGAGGTCCTTTCAGTGGTATGGTGCTTGACCATGGGGCAGGAAAAATACCATAGCCAGGAAAGGGTGCCCCAATTCCAGCCCTCAGAGCAAGTTAAGCCAGCTGAACCTGCTAAGTGTTTTAGAGATTCCACCTACAAAGTGGACCACATCCTCTGCTGCAGATTGGGGATGTGAAGTGAGAACAAGCACCCTGGAGGGAGGCCTATGGAAAAGGTCACTGAGTGGGTGTTATATAGTCCTATCCTTTTCATCAGAACAGTTGTGGCTATTTCCAAGACACCCTCAAGATGGGGCTTGTTGACTATTGACTTTTCCTTGGAGAAGGAGGGAGTGGGGAGGGACAGTGGACCCTCACCTCAGATTCCGGCCACACTTTTAGGCCAGCAGGATGGCATTCTTCCCTAATTGCACGGGACTTTGTGGTCTGAGAAGATGCTAGAGTGTAGAGGGTGTGGGAGGTTAATTGGAAGGGGAGACTCCATCTGTGTAGCTATGGGGACATCACCATCCATGCTGTGGGGCCTTTCCAGTGGTGTGGCTACTTTGGGATCACCTATACTGTTAAGTAAATTCATTGGTTCTCAGGTTTGACTTTGGTGGAATCGTACTTTGTCAATGGGCCCCTAAAAAGAAGGGTAGATGCTTTATATTTCCCAGGGAAGGAATTCTCAGAACAGCAGACCAGGAGCAGGGAGGATCCCAATACAGCATGTGTCCTTGAGTGCCCGTTGAAGGCCTCTGGCAGTGGCTGTGCCTGAGCGTGCCATGTAAGTGCCATGTAAGTACCAACAGTCAGCAATGTTTGACTCCATTGGATCACAGCCTGCACAGAGAGGATCTCATGGGTGCCACTTATTGCAAGAGGCAGGACTGCTTTGCATTCTTCTAAGCTGCCCTTCAACAAGCTCCAAGAAGTGGGTGGGGGTAGGGCAAATTAGAAAAATCTGTGTCCTCCTGGGCCTATGGACCTGCAGTGATTAGATCTTAACGATGCTTCCGTAAACTAGAATGTGAAGTTTGTATGTGAAACTTCCTGATTTTTAAAAAGTTGTCTGCAGAATCAAGTTTTCAAAAAACGCCATGCATCATTACTTGAGGGTCCCAAAATTGAGGCCCTAGAGTCTGTTTTTCTGATTCTCACACCCAGAATCATTCTGCTGCAGTGTTTGCATCTTACCACCAGGTGGCGCTCCAGGACTGCTTAGCCGTAACTTTCTACTTCATCCCTGCATCCTTTTGGCTCCAGGCTGGAAGGCACTTTACTGGGCTCTCTCTCTTTCTGTCTGTCTCCATCCCTCCCTCCACCTTTCTTCCCTCCTTCCTCTTTATATCCTCTTCCTCCGTCCCTCCTTTCCTGTACCTATACACATGCTTATACCCTGAAAGCACAGGCATCCCCATCCAGGGTTTCCCAAGCTCTGGCTTTGGGACTCCCACTCCCTGCCCCAGACCATGTGGGTGAACTGGCTCCCTAAATCCTGTCGCCTTCCCTGCTGGCTATGCAAACACAGGAGCCTGAGTCAAAGAGAGCCACCCTCACAAATGCAGAAGATATTTTCTAGGAACCTTGTGCAGCCCAGAGAGGGAAGAGGAGGGGCTACCACTGTGAAATAAGTACTCGTTGGACAGCTGGGACCTAGGAAGACATATTTGGCATAGGTCATGGCTTCTGCCTTGATTTCTTCCACTTTTTCTGTCCACCTGTGAGAGTCTCAATCTTAGCTGTGCATCGGAACCACTTGGGCATGTTAAAAAACAACGAACCCTGGTGCCCAGGCCATACCCCGGACCGATGGCATCAAGCCTTCTGCAGTGAAGAACTTTCCAGAACTTCCCATATGATTCTCGTGAGGCATAGCTGAGAAGTCCTGCAAATGGAAGCTGTGATTTCAGGGGTGACTGGAAATGCACCAGTGTCCTTTACAAGGTTTCGGGTCTGGAAGGAATCTCTGAGGCCACCAGCACCAGTTTCCACTAAGCATAGAGAATCTTACTGTAAAACATATCTTGATTTTTTTTTTTTTTTTGAGACAAATTCTCCCTGTAGCCCTAGCTGGCCTGGAACTAAGTAGACCAGGCTGGCCTCGATTTCACAGAGATCTATTTGCCTCTGAGTCTCAAGTGCTGAGACTAAAGGTGTGCACCACCACACCTGGCCATAAGTTTTGATGTTAATGAAAATTTATGTAGCATTTACAGGATGCCAGGTGCTATTCCATACATACTTTATATGTGTTGATGTGTTGTCACCCCTACAGCTTTGAAGTAGTAGCTATTATGAGGATACCCATCTTACAGATGAGGAAACTGAGGCCTGCTGTGGTAATTAGCCAAGGTCACATAGCTACACAGTGATGGTGCCATTCATAATCTGGGCTGCCTGGCTTTGGGGACTGTTCTCCTTAAAACCCCAGAGAGTTAACAGGGCTAGGACCTGACCTGTCCAGCTCCACCTGCAGCAGAGCTCTAGTAGGGCCCCTAGAAATGAGGTCAGTACCCAGCTCTCTGCCTTTGTTGATGTAGAAGCCACTGTCCCTGATAAGAGAAAGGAATGGCTGAAGTCCCCTGGGGAGTGCCAGGTAGAGCCAGGACCTCACAAGAGACTTACTTCTCATTGTCGTAGTACAGCTTCCCGATGGCCCAGGCCACAATGATGGGGAAAGGTACACCTGGGGGGGAGAGGGGCAGTCATCGAGCTCTTTGGTGGCGGCATGTGGGATGCAGGATCTGGAGGACCCCAGGGCAGGGATTTCTGGGAGTTGAGCTCTGATACCTCCTTCATGGTGATCCCACCATCCCACCCCCAGGAAGGGTGCACACCCCGTCATTCTAACCCAGCCAGAAAGAGTCCTAGGAAAGTCAGTGGTGGGGCTGGCCCAGCTTACCCCAGCCAATGCAGACAAACATCCACTTGCGTAGACGGTCAGTGGAGTAGGTGAGCGCGATAGCTGTGTGCAAGTAGCAGCCCTCACCAAACATCCAGAAGAAGTTGGTCACGTGGAAGTAGTTGTAAGCTGCTGTCACCAACCTGCACCAGCCCTGGCCCACCAGAAATGACAATGAGCTAGGGGTAGTCAGTGGTGGTCTATCTTGAGTCCCCTTGGGATCCTGTTCCTGCTCTGTGAGACCTAGGCCTGGCTGGGACCCCCTTTGCAGGGCAGTCCCATCTGAGCTCCTCTGACCCAGGGTTTGGTCCCTTCTGCTTCCTATGCTGAGACGTACCACATTACTCTGGTGGACCTCAGGGCTCATGGTGAGTTGGACCACGAACCACGTGGCATTGCGAAGGATGAAGGCTGAGATGAGGTTCCAGTGGATGATGTTGCGCAGGCACCGGATGCTCCTGGGGTAGCAGGGGAGGGCAAAGGACAGGGGACGACAGCAACAGGAGGAGAGAGAGGATGAGGGTAGGTGCTGGCATTCCACCAGCCCAGATGCACAGATGGAGTGAGTGGGGCTGACTGGTTGGTCTCTTCAAGTTTCACAGGGCCTTCCTATCTGTTGCCACCCAGACATCAGCTCCTGGCAGAGCCTGGCATGTTCTGTGGACCAGGCCTGCTTCTCACTAGGGATCCACCCCTCCATTCCCTGCATCCCAGGACTGAGAGCCAGAGAGCTGGCAAATAGGAGAGGCCTCCAACAGGAAGCCCCTTCCCTCTCGACTTTCAGCTCTGGCTGCCATCTGCTTCCAGCTTTTTCCTACCACTTGGGCAATGGCAGATTTGAACTTGAAGAAGGGTCGCTACTACACAGAGCCCCCCCTCTCCAGGGCTCTCCCTGCCTGGTCATCCCAAGATGGGCACAGACAAGGCTAAATGTTGGTGACATGGGTGAGCCTCGGTTTTGTCTCTCCCTACTCTTCATCCTCCAGTCGCTGCTGGGGAAGGGATAGAAGTGGCTCTGCCAGAGGTCCCAAGAGACCTAAGACCTCACTCCCTTCCACTCAGGGGACAGGCAGGTCACCCCCTTGCGAGCACCTCCATCCCAGAGCTATGCCCCCATCTTTCTTCCACCTTGCTTCAGGATCCAGGGGTAGCAGGAGGCAGTACCTGGGCCTTCTCACCTCAGTCGCAAAAAGAGGACAAAGGCCACCAGGAGGGCCACCAGGGAGATGCAGTGGCCCAGGTAGTTGATGATGACGGCAATGTAGTAATGTGCTTTGCTCTTCTTCTGAAGCAGGAGAGAGGGACAGAGTTAAGGCTCCCTACAAACACGCCTCTACACCATTGAACTGAGCATCTCTGTGCGGACAGTGCCTGGGTTGTCGGGAGAGTGAGCAACAGTAACAGGGCTTACCTCCCCACCCCCCTCCAGAGTAGCCCTGAGTACCAAGTGCTACCCTGGAGTAGCAATACCCACTTGACCAGTCCATTTATGAATCCAGGCTTTGCCTTCCATGTTGTATTATTAGAGAGATAGGAGTTGAAACTGCATCCACGTCACACAGGGCTCCTGTGTCATGTAAATAAACACTATGCCCACCCACAGATATGTTCCTGTGCTCACAGCTGCCCATGTCCCATTCCGTCCTGACGCTAAGGCCCCCAGTGGGTGCAGAGACCTCAGTCCTCCAAGATTTCTTTCCTCACCTACTTCTGAATTGAGTCCCGATCTTCCTGGTTATACCTGAATTCCCCGGCTGTAGGTGCACCCTTCCACTCCTCCCCAGGAGAGAGAGCAGCAATGGCTAGGGAGCAATTCTTAGCTGGGAAGATGGGTCTGTGGGTAAGATGCTTGCTGCACAAGCATGAGGATCCGAGTTTGGATCCTTAGCACCGATGTAAAAGCTGGGTGTGTCACTGTGTATCTGCAACCTCAACATGGGGGGATGAGAGACAGGTGGATTCCCAGAACTCACTGGCCAGCCAGCCTAGCTGATACATTGAGCTCCAGATTTAGTGAAGAGACCCCATGCCATAATTATGATGATGATGATGATGATGATGATAATTAATTACAATATGGAAAGTGATTGATGAAAACACCCTACATTGACCTCTGGTCTCTACAGGTGTACACTGGTTTGTGCACCCCCACGCGTGCACACATGAGCACTTCTATATACCTACCACACATACACCCCTTCAGAAGGAAGGAAGGATGGCAAGAAAGAAAGACAACTCCTTCTGCAGGCTCCAGTTCTCATTCCAGAGCCTTCCCCTCCCCCTTTCCCTGGTCCAGGGGCTGCTCCAAGTGAACAATATCTCTCCATTCCCTCCCTCCATGACTCCCTCCCTTCCTCCTTTCCCAGTGGCAGGAATTGAACCCAGGACCTTGAGCATGCTAGGCAAGTGCTCTATCTAATGTGAGTTACACCTCCAACCATTTCTAATTTTCTTTAAAAATATTTTTATTACATTTTCTATTTTTGTGTGTGAATGTGTATATGTGTAGGTATATGTGACCTCATGAGGAGGTCAGAGAACAACTTGTGTGAGCCAGTTCTCTCCTTCTACCACGTGATCCTGGGAGTTGAACCCAGGTTGTCATATTTGGTAGCAAGCACCTTTACCCACTTAGCCATCTCTCTGGCCCCTACTTTTCTTAATTCATTGAATATACAATGGAAGCTGCTCCCCCATCTTTCCAATAATCTTAAGCCCATGAGTGAGGAAACCTTCCCACCTGCAGATGGTTTTCCTTATCTTAAAGCTTCAAAGCAACCCTGTGGGAAACCTGTGGAACAGCATCAGTAACTTATTTTATGGAAAAAGAGACCCAAAAGTATGTTGACTTGTTCTAGGTTGTCACCTTCAGCTTCAGAACCACATGTTACATGCATGTGCAGCTTGGCAAGACACTAAGGCTACAATGGGTCCCTACTCTACAACAGGGGACCAGCCAGTCCCCCAGTGCAAAAATTCTCATTCACCCCATTCACATATCATCATTATGTGCTGAATGAGGGAGGACAAAGAAGAAGCAGGAGTTTTGGAAAGCGGGAGTGTGCGTCTCTGTACGCACTTTCCTCCCTTACCCTCGGTGGGTTTGGGTGTGTGACCAAGGATGATTATGCACAGAAACTGGCAAAGACTAAGTGCCAAGAAAGTACAGGTTTCCAAGCCTGTTCATCCCTTTGGTGCCCAGTAGAGCTGCTGGCCCTCCCTGACCCTTCCTGTCAGAATGATGGAACCCACAGAAGTCAGAGCTGGTCCTGAGGGGCCACACCCAGCACTACCCATCTTCTGGACAAGTGGTTGAAGCCCACCTAAGGATAAGAGATGTGCCTTATGGCTGGATACCTAGCAGGCACTCCAGAGGGGCCAGGCCTGCCCTCCCTCGATCTCCGTTTCTGCCATACCCTTCTAAAGGGGACAGAGATAGTCAAGAACATGGCTAGTTAGCAAGTCAGGCCTCTGGAACCCTGGTATCCCAGGAGGGGTGAGTGGAGGCAGGGGGGAAAGACAGAGAGGAGGAGAGGGGGACCATCCTGCCCTGCTAATGCAAAGGGTCCTTAAAGGCCTGCATCAGATGTCAGGATCCTATCGAAAGGCCCCAGATAGGCATGCATAACACATAGCCTATCTAGAGCCCTCACTTGATTTCCTTTTATTAAATTTTCCACACATCCATGCTGAGAGGCCCCTGGGTAATAACAACATCTGTGGAGTTGAGCTGATGCCATGCCTATGCCTCGGCTTCCTTCTCAGGCCCAGGAGGGAAGAATAAGGAGGGGGCTTCAGGCCTCTGCTCTCAGAGCCCCTGCCTTGACCCCTAGTCAGGTGTACAGCTGGGTGGTTTGGGGAGGAGTAATTTACTAAGCACTTACTGTATGCTGGGTCCTCTGCTAGAAGCCTCCCTGTTACTGAGACTGGTCTCTGAATCCCTGTTTTCTGGTTGGAGAGGCTGTACTATTGACCTAAGCCACATAGCCAGCAATGTGAAGCTGGACCTGCCTAGCTTTTAGGGTCCTCCACTCAGAGTATTATGGGGGGGCAGGTACAAGCAGGGATTGAGGAACAGGTTCTTTAAGGGGCTCCCTTCCCTGGTGGGCCCATGATCCTGGAGGGGTGATTATTTAGGAAGAGTGGGGTGGGGCTTTTCTCTATCAAGGCTGAAAGGTACAACAGAGCCCAACACCACAGGGGGCAGTGACCCCAGCTGGGGTCAAGGTCTGGGTTCCACTGGCCTCCTGGACCTGATGCAGTCCGAGGACTAAAGAGCCAAAGCACAGCTTCGGGAATGGCAGAATCACAGAGAAAATGCCAGTGATAGTCTGAGAGATAACTGTTATGATGTGAGTATGTCCTAAAGACCAAGTGTTGGAAACATGGCCCCCAGTGCAAAGGTGTTGGGATGTGGGACTCCTCAGCAGAGTGGGCGTCTCACTGCAGGAGTGGGTTCCTTCTAAAAGCATGTTTAGTTCACCTGCCTTCTTTTGCCATTTCTTTGTCTTCTGTTGTGGGATGACACAGCAGGAAAGCCTTTGCAAGATGTCAGCCCCTTGACCTTGGATGTCCCAGCTTCCAGAACAATAAGCCAATAAATTTCTATTCATTATAAATGATCCACTGGCTGGAGATGTGGCTCAGTTGGTGAAGAGAGTATTTGCCTAGTATGCATGAACCTCGGATTTAATGCCTAGCAATACATAAAACTGGGTATGGTGGCACATGCTTGTAAGTATCACGTTTGGGGCCAGCCTGAGCTACATGTGAACCCTGAGGAAGGTGGCACAGCGGGGTGCTGGGGAGGGACTGCTGTGCTGTGCGCTCAAGACCAAAATCTAACAACTAGATTTTGAGATACCACCTTGTCCCAAAGATTGTTGGTGGCAGACCTGTTTGGATGCCTTAAGGGGACAGCAGCAGTAGGATCTCAGCTCCTTCCAGATGTTCAGCCTCATCTCACCTCACTCCTGCTTACCGTATGTGTGGTTCTTCCTGTCCATCTAGCTTCCTAAGCTCTTCCTCTTACTCCCCAGTGGGTACTCCAAAACCCCCAGTCCTCAAAGTGTGGTCCCTGAACCAGCAGTGTCAGTGTCTAGGAGCTTGCAGACATTCTGAGAAAGATGTAGTCTAAAGTCACACCCCAAATGCACAGAATTCATTTTCCCTTTAGCAAGAAACCCAGGAAGTTCCTGAACAACTGAACAGTTAAACAGCCCTGGTCCAACGCACCCTGATCCATGGTCCATAAGCCTCCAGAATCCCTTTCAGGTAGCACTGTGCCTCTCAGGATTGACTGCCTGGAGATAATCACCAAAAACTGCAGAAGCTGGATACCCCTTACCCTGCGTCCCAAGGAACTTCTCCACCCAGCAGGGCAGCGCAGCAGTGTGACATCCCTTTAGTCTAATCACTGACCTGCCTTTGCAGCTTCTAGAAGGAGACAGTGGAGTTCAGTAGCTCAGTGGCTTGAAGCCAGGTAACCTGGGGTGAGGCAAGCTGCTATTCCCCATCGACCTCACTTCATTAGGTTCCTGACTGTAGGCAGAGGGGACCCTGGACTCCAAAGCCCCAGACTCCAGGCTGTGGCACACTCTTACTCTGGCCATGTGACTTTGTGTGAGTCACTCCCTGCTTTTCAGGCCTCAGTCTCTCCCTAAGAGTATCTCACTTTTGTCCCATTTTCAGACTCCCTGTGGCACCTGTTAAAAACGCGTATTCCTGGGACTGGGGAGACTGTTCTGTAGAAAAAGTGCCTGCCATGAACCATGAGGGTCTGGGGCTCATATCTCCAGTACCCACATACAAGCTGAGTGGGTGTGGTGACCCACCTGTAATCCCAGTTCTGAGGGTAGATAGGCAGACAGGGGAAACTTGGGGCAAATGGGCTAGTTGAAATAGCTGAATTGCTGAGCTTCAGGTTCAATAAGAGACCTTGCCCCAGTAAATAGTGATTGAGGAAGACACCCTCTGGTCTCCACACATGTGTGTACACACATGTGAACGTGCATACGCACATGCACGCACAATACACAGACACATGCAAAAATGCCCATTTAAGCTAGGTGCGGACTCAGGAGGCAGAGGCAGGTGGGTCTCTGTGAGACTGAGGCCAGTCTGGTCCACATAATGAGTTCTAGACTAGCTGGGGTTACAGGGAGACCCTGTCTCAAAAAAGCCCATTGCCAGATTCCCAGGTTGACCTTGGGGGCAGTTTGACCCATTGAGTGTGGTGTAGGGCTCTGGAGTCTGTATGTGAATGAGTGCTCTGGGTGAATCTTCCTACCAAGCAGGTCTGGAAATCTTCAGATGAGAGAGGGTCTCCAAATTCCTTTCCAACTGAGACCTTTCAGAGGACAGATTTCTCAGGATTGCCTAGACCAGTCCCTTTTCCTTACCTCTAAAGCCCAGGGCCCTCACTCGGGCAGCCTAGGGTAGCTTTGCTTCTGCCTCTGCTTTCTGCTCACTTGTTCTGCCAGCCCAACCCCCACCTTCCTCAGCACCCTCTGGAAAATGGAACGGAGGTAGCAGAGGTAGCGGGAAAGGAGTAAGGGGGACTGAGCATAACGGCAGTGGCAGAAAGATCCATGTGGCTGGCAAGCGGCATCCTTAGATTATTCATGGCGGTCCTATCTGTAAAAACTGAGACTAAAGCTTAGTCTGGTAAGTTATGGTGCATTTGGACAGGAGACTGGATATTATGCAAGTGAAGAGAGAATGAAGATGTTCTTTCTGTACCATCATGGAACAGTCTCCAAGATAGATGGCTACATGAAGAAGCCAGTGTCAAGTGAGGTGTATAACAGGTGACATTTGGGTAAAGCCAGAAAAATATGCCTAAATACAATGACTTGTGCATGCAGAACACTTAAGGAACTGCCAAGATTGCTGCCTCAGGGGAGGAAGCCCGGTGGTTGGGGACAGTGGCAGGAGGGGGATCTCTCACTGTATTCCCATTTACCTTTTAAATTTTGTATTATGTGTAAGCAACAGCTGGACAAAAACATTTAAAATTTTCAAAGGATCGCCAAGGCTTTTTCAAATGGCCTCACCCCATTTCCATGGCTGGACCTTGATGTCACTTTCAGGTTTCAGGATGCAAATGGGTAAGAATCCAATGACTGTCTGATCTGACTTCACCCCAGCCCTGCCCCACACCCAGTGCAAACAGCTACAGTATGGGTGAAAGAAAGGGAGGGAGGGAGGAGGGGATCCAATGCCCAATACCACAACCTGGCCAGTGGCTCTCCACCAGCCTTTTCAGGGTAGATCCTCAACATCACCTTCTGAAAAAGCTCCCAGACCCTGACTAACCACATGAGGCATCCAGCTGGCACTGGAGTCCCTAGCTTGCCTTGGTATGGTGGCCAGTTCTCACCTCCTCATTGAGAATCTCTTGGCACTCGGAGTAATTCACTCGGGCAGCCCAGCTGCCATTGGCTAGGCACTGTCGGTAGCCATTGTCTGGGAAAAGAAGAGAACTCATGATAGAAGGAGACAGTGACATCTGCCTGTCCATCCATCTGGGCCAACACAGGGCCTGCTGGCTGGGGGCCCTGCAGTAAAGCGGGGAGAGGGGATTCCCAACTGTCCTGTGCCCCTGACTTTTGTTTTTTACCTCCTATGCTCCAAATAGCTATATCTTTGCCCTCACAGCTGCCCGCAGGGCCCTGGCTCCATTGGCCCAAGCTGGCTCAATCATGTCACGTGATCTATGCATAGGCAGGGTAGCTATCTCCCCCAACCCCCTGGGGGGACTGCCTTCCTGCACATTCTCTGTGGTGGTGAATTTCCTGGTGGCTGTTCTTCCAAGATGTTCCTGTTCAGGGTCTTGCATGACAACAAAGAATGACAGATCCTGTGACTCAAGATACACCTAGCTGGGCAGGATCTGGGGGATAGGCATGTAGCGACTGTTCCTATGGCTGGTTTAAATGATGAGGTTTCTTAGGTTTGACTCTGTATCAGAGTTTGCATGGGTGGTCCTCACATTCTAGTGTTTAACATGGGGATGGGGCTCACATGGGAGGTCTGGTGGAAGGACCCCACAGTCCCATTTCCACTTCCCATGCTATATGTTGGAGACTCCACAGGGGAGGTCTTATGGGCAGAAAATGGCATGACAGGTGTGTGCTGGGGAGGCTACCAGGTAGGCCTTATGTGGCAGGTAGCTCACTGCTAGAACTACTACTGCTACTCTTTGCCTGGCCTGTGACATTGGGGAGGAAGGCAGAGAGTGGGCTAAGAACGGGGGGAACCTTATGTCAGTCTAGACTGTAGCCAGAACCTCTTATCTCCTAAAGAGGTTTGGAAGGGCCCTAGGGCTGCTCTACCTGGCTTAAGGGCTCTCTGGAAGGGACAGGGCTGCCCAAAGGGTCTCGCTTATCCACTTCCTGCCTAACCCCTTGGGTAGCAGGTTCAGATATCCAGTAAGAGGGGGCGGGGTAAGGAGCCTCTGCATGTCCTCTCCTACAACGTCTCCTTACCACCCAATCCCCCTCTGGCTTCGGTAGCACTAACCATGTTTCCTTGCATTGCTTCTGGCTCTGACTCCAAGCTGCATTGGCTACAAAAGAAAGAGCCCTGAGCCATCTCTGCTGCACCCTCTCTTACTATAGTCCCCTCTGTGGCTCCCACTGACCCACAGGCTGGAAGAGGGCTGGGGACGCTGCTTGAGTTCCAGTCACTGGGCTTGGAGTCCCACAGGGGCCAAAGGAGTAGCTCAACTGTGGCTATGTAGTTGAAGTACCTCTCGGCCTGTCTCTTCATTTCTAAGGATGGAGATGCTGTAGATGATCCACAAGGACCATCAGCTTATAAGTCACTTCTGCTGGCAACATCAAGACCAGAAGAAGATACAGAGTGGAGGGCCAGAGGAGCTGACACTGCCGGAGGAGAAGGTCTGACCTCTGGGGCTGGAAGTCTGGCCTCCTCTCTAACCTGAGAAGCTGCTCTGACTGCCAGCTGGCTGGTGGGGAAATTGATCTCCATGGATTATTCTAGGGCTGCTTGGCCTTGCTGTGAGCAGACCTGAGTGCTGGGCAGAGCAATGACCAGGTGAGAGTTGGTAATGAGGCTATAGACATTCTAATAGTGCTAAATAAGGCTGAGCCTCCCAGGGACTCATGATGGACATTCTGGGATCTCTGTGAGGACAGGGAGGACAGGAACCAGGGGACTGACTATACTTGGCATGGTGGGTCATACCTGGGATCAACCAGAGGCTACTTGAAATGTCTACAGAGATGGGTGGGAGGGGCATGAGACAGCTTCTGCCTTAAGAGAGACAGTCCAAAAGCAGGACTCAGAAAAGGGGCCCTAGACCTGGGTTCAAATGCTGGTTCCATCCCACACTAGCTGTGTCACCTTGGGCAAGTCACTAGACTTCTTGGCTTCTCCATCTCTGACGCAGAGCCATCTTGAGGCCTCTCCTGTTCTTCTGGGTGAGTATTTTTAGCTAGCATGTACACAGCCCTTGGAATTGTACCTGGCATATGGTGCCTAGATTTATTATTATTGTCTCTGAGCTGTATTTATACAACCTTACATAATAGTCAGAACATGTCACTTGTTTCTATCAGATGGAGATTACAGAGGCATCTCCTTTGCTCAACAGCCCCACCCGTGCCCATCTAGAGTAGGGCACCTGGAGTTGGTCTCTAGGTTAGGCCATCCCAAGCAGCAGGTTTTGATCCAGAGGGGACTGACCCCGAAGGAAAACAAGCCTCAAACACAGGGGCTGGTTGCCAGGGAGGAGCCGACCTCCTTGTCTAATTGCTGAGCTGAGCAGTTCTCCCAGAGGATCATGGGAAAATGGGTATTTTTGGAAATGTTTCCCATCTCTTTGAAGATCTGATGCTGCAGGAGGGAGGATGGTAAGGAGTAGCCTGGAAGTCCTGGCAACACCTCAACAGTAAATGAGTTAATTAGAGGATAATGATTAGAAGCAACTCTGCCTCCCCTCCTGATGCCACCGTGGAGGTGCCCAGGGCACCTGTATAGGGAGTCTGCCAGCCTACATCTGGGAATCAGCAGCTCAGCTTTCTCTCTGGGTCGAGAGAGGGAACCTGAGGGTATCTTCCTCCACCCTGTCCATCCTGCAGGTAGAGAACCCAAGGCCCAGAGAAGCCCCAAAACCAAGAGCTCCTGAACTAGGGGCAGATGGAGGTGGGACTAGAGCTCAGGGTGCCTAGTTTTCACTGAAGGCCTATGTACACCCAGACACTAAAATGACAACACTTATTTGACGCATGTCCAGTAAACCTCAGGGATACCAGCGGAAGGTACTCGTGGGGAGTGGCTAGGGCTGGTTATAAAGGTGGGCAGGGCCATATCCATAGAGGGCTCAGCAGTCCCCACTCAGGAGCGTAGGCAATGGGCAAGCACAGAAAGGTGGACTCTAAGTGACGTGTGACAGGGTCATATTGGATGCTAGGGGTGCCTGAGATGGTTGTGGGCAGGTACGGTGGAATGTGAGGAGTGCTTTGGAGGCAGACCAGACAGGCTCTGGTGCTGTAGTGAGGGAAGGGATCTCCTGGGGAGCTTGGGTGGCCCAGTCCACGTTGCTGGTGTCCTGGATCAAGGCACGGGGTGTGGAGCAGTGTGCAGACCCTAGACCCTGGGTTCTGACTCAACCATCAGGCTCTGTGACCTTGAGCAGGTCATTAATCAGTCTATGCCTGTTTCCTCATTACAAAATTAACCCTACTAAATTGGAGACTAGGCAACAATGCACTACAACTCCTGTTTGACCTGTCCTTCTTCTTACCTGGTCTCTCCTCCTCAGTCCCCCTACCCTTTCCAGTCTTTCTTTTATCTCTCTCAGGTCCCTCCCATGGTTCATTTCATGGTCGCCCTCTCAAACCCTTCTGGCTCTATCCCCAATCTTAATTTCTCCAACCACCTAGTAAAGGAAGCTAGGGTGTGATGAGAGAGTTTGGAGCTGGAAGAAGTCTCAGACACCAGGTCTTCAGTCCTCTGACCCCACAGATGAGGAGGACAGAGGGCCACAGAGGAGAGACTGACCTGAGGTCATCCAGGGAGTCTTTGTATGGGCTACCTGGTATCTGGTCACCTTCAGCACCTTCCTGGGGCTTGGGGATCAGACTTTCTCCAGGTCTCACACACACTGTTCTAGCTCCAGGGACCTGGAACCCCAACCACCCTCGAGTAGGCCAGGGCCCCTGGCCTACAGCTGTTTTTCTCTTGATAGCAGGGACCTGAGTCATTGGCAAGAGAGAGCAAATTAATTTTGAGGGTGGCAGATGCTATAGCACGGAGCTGCAAAGCCTGGCGTGCAGGCTGGGACTCTAAGGAACGGAGGTGTTTACATGGAGATTGAGTATCTGCTCAGCTCCTGGGTCAGTTCTGCCCCACCCCCATCACACCTGTAGGCCTGGGATGCAAATCACCCTCTGCCCATAGATCTGACATTCTAGATGCCATGTCTCCATAGAACTTCTCTGCCCCAGGGTCCTCATCAGCAAAGCTGAAGCTATTCTGACCATCACTGACTTACTTCAAGAGTGATTGAGGCTTAATGAGACTAAGCAGAAGATTGTTAACAGAAGAAAGTACCAGACAGCTCTATACATTCCGCATCCCCCTCTACCAGCTGATGATCTTGGGCAAGTTCCCAAACCTCTCTGAGCCTCAGGGCCTTGATTATAGACCAGGTAACAATGTGTTCCAGGGTGCTGTGAGGATCAGCAGGAGCAAGCAGAGCCCAGCAGAGCATAGAGCTAGTCTTCGGGGCATTACAGCTGTTGGATTATTCTTCCTACCTCCAAACTCCCCACCCCACCTTAGCAGACAGTCCACCCTCTTCCTTACTTGTTGTGTTATAGCGTACTCCATAGAAAAAGGCAGGGCAGGGCCGAGCCACCAACTGCCCTGCAGGGCTCCTGGGCCAGCAGGTGCCAATGAGATCCACTGAGGTGTTGCACTGCAGGCCTGGGGGAAGAGACAGCTGGTGACAAAGAGCAAGGTCCTGCCAAGGCCCCAGGCAGACAGAAGTCCCTCTAGTGTCCTGCCCACCTCCCCACTGGTTCACCCTCAGCCTCACCAGGGACAGGACAAAGCAATGCTCCAGGGCAGAAATGAGCTCAGCACAGGTGGGGAGGTGCCAGGAATTTAAGTCTGCTGTTATGGCACTAGGAAGGCTGTGGCCGAACAGAAAGTTAAGGTCCTTAGCTGGTTTCAGGTTCCCTGCTCTGTAGCCTGAGGACGCTTCTCTCTACCCTCCCTTGGTGACAGAGTAGAGTGCATGACAGGTGCTTTTCACTTAGTAGGGGTGGCACCTTCCTCATGGGGTACTCAGGCTTTCCTGCATTTTGTTCTTCACGTCCACTCAGCACTGGGGAGGTTAAACTCACTGTCAGATGTTCTGGAAAAGAAGTGCTTAACATACAGGTCAAAGATGCACCTGCCTCTTTCCTTCTGGGAGCAGTTCCCAGGTACCCTTCTACTAAGACCAGGGGCAGGGAAGGATGGGTACTAGCTGCAGTCAGCACAGTTGGAGCCAAGGCAGGGGGCAGTTAGGGCAGTGCGGATTCCCCCCAGGAGAGGAGGGTCTCCTTCTGGGAACGCCAACTGCCAAAGTCTCTAAGTACTCTGAGCAGAACTGACTCTGCCCACTGCTAGTCCAGGGGCTTTGGTGGGTGGGGCAGAATGTCACATGCCCCTACCTTGGGGTATAGATGTCTTAGAACTTACTGTGGCCTCACACCACCTGCCTATGTGGGCACTAACTTCCTATTTTACAGATAAGGACACTGAGGCCCATGTAGTCACAGGACTTATCTGACACCCAAAGCTACCAAGAGGCAGAGTGGATTTTGAACCCTGGGCTTTTGAGATGCCTACACTGGTCTGGTCCCCTCACAGTAGCCCTGGGGTGGGGTTGGCAGCTGTCAGCATCTGGCTTGCACCCTTCTCTGCGCCCTGTTCTTCCCTCCTGTCCCCGCGTTCACAGAAAGCTGCTGAAGTGGCATCCAGGATATGACGTGACCTTTATATTAAAAACCCAGAAAATCCTGGAGTACATGAAAATCTGTGAGAGACAGAAGAAATGGAGGAAAGGCTAGGCTGCAAGATTGGGGGAGACAGGCCAATGAACTCGGTCTGGCCACAAAGGCGCCCCCTTCCACTGAATCCAGCAGGATGGTGTGCATATGGAGGTCATTGAACAACTTGGGGTTGTCAGTTCTCTCCTTCCACCGTATGGGTTGGGTGAATGGAACTCAGGTCCTCAGGTTTGGTGGCAAGTGCCTCAACTCACTAAGCCATCTTGCTCATCCTGAAGTTTGGATTTTTAGGCCAACACCCCCTTCATTTCCCATTGTCCCAAACAACCAGCCTCTCCCACTCTCCTGGGAGATTATTTTCCCACTTGGTTATCATAGTTCTGAGGTGAGGAGCAGTTTGAATCAGGGTAAGCAACCTGCAGCTAGCCAAACTGATTGTAAGGCCAAGGTGAGCTGGGGTCAGGGAGCCAACTCCTATAGCCAGCTTCCTAGAGAGTCCCTTCTGGTCAGTAACTGTATAGACAGGGAGGCACAGGGTGGTTCTTGATTTACCAAGTACTTACTGACTTCACCTAAGAAACAGAAGGGGCTGGAGATTCAGCAATGAATAAAATAGATTCCCTGTCTCCACAGTGCTTGCATTCTAGTTAGAGACACAGTGAGCTAGGAAACAAACACGCTAACCAGTGAGAAATACTGTAAACTGTAAAAGGAGGTAGGATGGATAAAATAGTACTGGGGTACTGTGTTAATTTGGTATTTCTCTAAAATACTAAGGCTTCATTAGAGACCTGAAGGAAGGGAGGGAAGGAGCTGTGTGAATAACTGAGGAAAGGGAGTACAGAGGTCCTGAGACAAGTGTTTGCTGAAGTATCAGGGGTTGGTCTTCTTGTCCCTGGGTCCCTCAGATAATAGATAAGGACTCTTTGCCGGTGGCCTAGTTACTACTTGTGCACAACTGGACACTGTTTTCTTCTGTCAAGTTAGCTATACAGTTATCTTTCTATCATACTTAGAGTCCAAATATGCCACAGTAGCTAACTTCAGAGGGAAGCCAGAACCTGGCTCCAGTTATGCGAAGTCCCCCATCAAGAGCTTCTGAGTGAACCAGTTATGTGGGGTCTCCCATCAAGAGCTTCTGGGTGAATCATAAGGTGGGTGAGCACCTGGCAGCCCCCATCCCCTGTAGCTGGCTTGAGGTTAGGGGAAGGACTCATCCAAGGCTGCCTGGGGAGATGCAAGGTGCGCTGGGGTAGCCTCCAAAACTGGCACTCCTGCCAGTAGGAGGCCTGAGCCCTTGGGAGGAAAGGGCAGGCACTCTGCCTAGGTGACCTGGCATGGAGAGGGGGGCAGCAGCAGGCAGAGAGGCTTTGTTTCCTCTTGGGCACCTTGGGTTAAGCTGCCTTTGAGCAGGGCAGAGAAGAAAGGTGTCTTTATGTGTGGGGCATCAGGGCAGTAGATGGGAGCCAGTGAGCCCTCCTGTCCTGTGGGTTTGTATACTCTTCATTTTTGTATTCAGTATCTAATAGAGGTCTAGACACATAATAGGTACTGAAGAAAGAGTGGAGCCATATACAAGTCCAGCGTGGGTAGGGAAATCTTCAGAGGTGACACTGCACCTCTGGGTGTCTGACAACATTGGGCCCTGGGTACTGTAGATCTCGATTGACCACATAGCATATTAAGTCTGAAATCAGGCCCAGATGGCTGAACTCTTGGGGCCATTGCTTAGTAACTGTGTGTGCTCAGGCAAGTTACTTAAACTCTCTGAGCCTAAGGCTCCCCTTCTGAAAAATGGGGACAAAAATACTTGCTGACTATGGTACTATGATTGAATGGAGTTGAGCATTTAGCACTGTGCCCAATGCAAAGTAGACATTCCTACATATTAGCTATTATTGTTGCCGTTATTATTACTATTGTCACCATCACTTCCTTAAGAGCGGGGATAGGAACCAGTAACTCTAGGTCCTTGTCAATTCTGATTCCATTTGTCTGTGATGTTATTACTCAGTAATTCTATTACTTTCTGACATGGCCTTATTCGTGCCATGTTATAAGTTGCCAAGTCTGTAACCTGCCACATGATGGGGCCTTGGCCCTGGGGACTCAGCCCCTCCCTGCTCCCGGCATGAGGTGTGTACAAGGCCCCCAAAGGTTCCGGCACAGGGCCAGCCACTCCGGCCAGACGCCCATCCATCTGTCCTGGCCCCTCTGCCCTGCCCTCACCATCTGTCTCTGCCAATGCCCATCAGTCTGGGTCAGTTGAGCATCATATAACAAATGGCCATTATCAGAGGCCATTGTGCAGAGTGATGGATTGCATGCTATGAAGCTAGGCTGGGGGTGGGTCACCCCGTACAAATCATGGGGGAATAAACGCCATTCATCACAGCTTGCTCTCTCCAAGGGCAGTTGACACCTATGTAGCTCCAAGGTGTCACTTCTCTTGAACACAAGCAAGTTAATGACGCTTGACCTGGGTCTGGGGGCTGTGTTTTGGGGGAGAACTTTCCTCAGGCCTCCTCCTTCCCTGTCCCTCTTGGCTGCAATTGTTGACAGGCTGAGAACAATACATTCCCTGTTCAACTCAGCTTAGGCAGTGGGCAGCCCTATGTTGGGACAGCCAGTGCTTACCTTACCCCACTGAGTCCTTCTGCAGACCCACTCACTGGTGTTCAGACACTAGCTATTCTCTGCCAGACATCTAGCTCTCTGGGCTCACCTTGAAGCCTCCTCTTTTAGGAAGGCTTCCTAGATTTGCTCTGTCCCTGTCCTAGCCTCCCTGATACCTCCATTGGTGTAAGCAACAGGTAGTAAGTACTTTCTCTTTTTTCCAGCTATCTACTAAACACTTTTAAAAGCCAGCCATGATTAGACACAGTAGTGATATGAACTCTGCCATTTGTGAAACAGAGCCACAAAACTCAATGCATTTAACCTCATAAGCCAATTCCCTACAGTTGGGCAAAGTAAGGTGCAAAGCAGTCCAGGGCAAGCCCTTTCTGTGGGTACCAGTCCTCTACCTCACAGTTGGGATATAACTGAGCTCAGATAGGACCCAGCATAGGACCCAGTCAGTCATCTGCAGGTCCATCTCTCCCTTTCTTCCCCCTACCCATGTGAGGGGACAGCAGGCCAGGTAGAAGAAACCTCTCCCAGCAGGCCCAGCTTCAGAAATGAATTTCTTGTGCCTCTTCACTACCAAACTTGAGTCTGTCTTTTTCCACTACTGGTTCTTCTGCATTCTCCCTCCCAGCACTGGGAGACCTGGGTGAGACTCGGAGGCTCTCTGGGCTCTCCTGGTGACATAGGCCTGGTCCACAGGAGGTGCTCAATTGCTGAATCAGACAGAGGAAAGTAAAGCACCACTGCACTTTGCCTGGCAGCAGCTGTCCCCAGGACCACACTCAAAAGTAAGAGGAGGCTTGGCCCTGGGATCCCAGAGATCTAGATTTGGGTCCAGACCCTGCGAGTACTGTCTGTAATATCCTGGGGGAGTTGTGTAACTCTTTCATACCTCGGCTTCCCAACCTGGATGAAGACTGGGTTTTCAGCTCATGGGGGATGAAATAAGGTAACTACATAGAAGCCCTCTGCCAATGGCTCAGCTGTAGGTCATAGTGATATTTGCATTCACCTAGGATTTTCTATTAGAAAGGTATTGAGCACAGTGTTTCAGAGCACATAAGGGAACCAGCTGCCTATGCAATCCAGGCTTCAGCACTTACTAGTGCCTCTCTGTCCCTTTCCATGTCTCATGGGTGACTATATCTCGAAGACTTCAGGTTAGCATCATGCAGCCTTAGACTCTGGGCACTTGCAGCAGGAGCAAGTAGCAGCCTTTGTCCTTTGCCCAATATCCCCACATCACAGCCCAGCAGCAGGGGCTGGAGTGCCCTTCCCTGTTGCCCATTGGATGGTTGACTATGTGACACATTTGCCGCATGTGTCTCCTGTGCCATAGAAGAGGCTGCTGGCTAATCTCAGTCTTCTTCCCACTCAATGACTCCCACTCCAGATCCTTCTCCACATAGTGCTCCCTGGAGATGGGACAGTTGCTCAGAGCCCTGGGGGAAGGGGACATTGTGGGAAACTGACATCCTGAGAAGTGAGGGACAGGGACGACTCACCAGAAATGTTGCTGGCCAGGGACAGGTTCTCACAGCGCTGGTTCTGAAGGGAGGTGGAGACAGGGTTCAGCCCCAGGAGGAGAAGGGCCTGTGGGCACAAGGAGGTGCCGGACACTGTTAGTGTGTATGTGGGGGGTTGCCTAGAAGACTTACCCAATGCTTCTTGTCCCCTCCTCCTCTGCCTAGCATCCCTGCCCACTCTCCTGGTCCTTTCCTCCTGCATCTTGAAAGTTTGGAGTTGCCCTGCTCACCAAGGGCCTAGAATGGAAGCTGGTCAGAGAAGAAGCCTGAGCTCCTAGGACAGAGGTCATGTTTGTCCCTGGTTACTAGAGTCACAAGTGAGGCTGTTAGAGAAAGCTACTGCATGGACCCCAAACATGGCCCAACCAGGTCCCCTACCCATGCATGTATACACCTGCACATACAAGCTTCCACCTGCCTGCTGAGTGCCATGGGCTCATAGGCTCTCATTTGAGCATCTCCTTCCCTTTTCCCTTCTCCCTCCCTCCCATTGTGGTGTTTCAGGCCTGTGGTTTAATGAGCCCCTCCTGGGCCTTCATCCCTGCCTGGCTTATTAGCAGTCCTTACAAACTGTATCTCATGTGTCAAGCCCTCTTGATATACAGTGACAACATCAATGGCTTAATTTTCTCTGGAGACAGCATGGCTATGCCTACTGCAGATGGGGAAGCTGAGGCACTGAAGAGATGAATGTGTCTGGGAAGTTGGCTTGCTATCTCTGGGAGGGCCCCGTGTTACTCTGACTCCAGGATTTCAGCCCTTCTGGAAGGAGAGAGATACGGGCCTCGTGACTGGAAGCCTGCCTCTTCTAGAACTGACACCTGCCCCCAACCACCATGTACCCTCACTTAGGTCACCACCTTTCCCTATAGGTTAGAGTCTAGATGGGTAGGCTACATGACTTCTTTGGGTCTCAGTGTCCCACCTTAAAAGTAAATACAGTCCCCCCCCCCATTCCAGGTATCTGTGAGAATCTGTTGTACACACTCAAATTTGTCAAATAAGTTAATGAATGACATTGTGTTTCCGGCACATAAATGGTGCTCAGTGAGGACATATTGACTGATTTGAACCTGGTGGTTGTTATCTGGTCTGAGTGATAAGGTGGAGTCAAAAGTGGGAGCTGTTTCTGCTGGGATTCCATTTGTAAGGGGGTCCAGAAGAATGTGGGAGCAGGAGAGGAGCATTGTAACATGTCAGCTGGGGTCCTGACGATGGTGACAGCAGAGTCTCCAGGGAGATGACAGCCTTGGAAGTGCTCTTCACATCACCGTCCTGCTCTGCTCCCCTATCTACTCCATCCCAGAGCCCCCACCCTCACCAGTATCCACTCCTTCCCCCTCCTGTAGGTGCAGATGACAAAATCAGGCTCTGCTGCTTTCTTTCCCACCCTGCAATCACATCCCTGGTCAGAGCCTAGACCCACCCCCCAAAAAGTCCCCCCCTGGGGCTAGAGAGATGGCTCAGGTATCCTCTTCTGGCCTCTGCAGGCATTGTGCACACATGGTGCACTAACATACATGCAGGTAAAACATTTGTACACATAAAATAAAAATAAAATAAAATTTTAAAATGAAGCCACTTAGCGGTTAAGAACAGTGATTATTCTTGCAGAAGACCTGGATTCAGATCCCAGCACCCACATGGCAGCTAACAACTGTCTGTAACTCCAGTTCTAGTGAATCTGATGCCCTCTTTTGACCTCCATGGGCATTGCACAACACTGGTGCACTTCCATACATGCAGGCAATACATGCATACACATAAAATAAAAATAATAAATAAAATATTAAAAAAAGAAGTCCCTTTGACCTGGTGGCTTACTGGTCCACATTGTTCCCCTTGGTGTTTACCCAAATCCTTAGTGGGCTTTGTATAATTCATTCCCACAGTCCCAGTACCCTCCCTCTATCCCACCCTAAGGCTCTCTGCTTTTATTGACTGAAACCAGACACCTCAATAGTCCCTAGGCTTACACCCAATCCTGTGCAGTGTTGGGGTCAGCAAACTTGCTCCTGAGCCTCGCCAGTGATTAGAATAAACCCATTCATTGCTCTGGCACTGAGCAACTTCCCACACTTTTATTAATCAGTAATTAAGCTTCATAGTCTCTGGAGAGGAGAAAAATATTGTTAGCCTCACTTTCCAAATGCAAACACAGAAGTGGAGGGAGGAGGAGGCTACGGGCCAGCTGGTGACTACTGCCAGCTAAGCAAAGAACAATGTCCTCATGACAATGCTCACAGCTCACTCAGAGTCAGTCGGGACCCAGGTTCTGTGCTGTCCCCATAGACGGGCAATGGCTGCTGGGGCCTAGGAAATTCTGCCCCACTTTTACTACTACTACTACTTCTTCTTCTTCTTCTTCTTCTTCTTCTTCTTCTTCTTCTTCTTCTTCTTTTCTCTCTCTCTCTCTCTCTCTCTCTCTCTCTCTCTCTCTCTATATATATATATAAATTGAACTCAGCTCAGCCATAGGCAAATTAAAGAAACTACAAATACCACTGTCTGACATCTACCCTTATCAATCTAATACTTAAATTGTGCGTTGTTCTTCTTCCAGCTCTCCCTTGAAGACACATCAGGTCCTATTCCTATGTACTTACCCTATGTCAACTCTTGCCACATGACCCCTCCTGGACCAGCACACCTTCACCCATAGTCTGTGTGCCCAGCACCTGGTGACTCAGCTGTCCTCGGGGCCAGCACCCTTCCCGAGCCTTCCAAAGTAATTTAGCATATGCTTTCGATATGCCGCTGGTCTCCCAGTGCCCTGTACATGTGGAGGTGCTCTCAATGGACGCCTTGGGCGAGTCTTGAGTGTGTGAAACCAGTTCATTATCATGCACCCACGACCTGGGCTCTAATTAGAGGATGAATACAAGGACCAGAAGTTCTTATTCTTGAATCTTAAAGTCCTGGGGGTCATTAGTGCAGAAATTGAGTCTTGAGTGTGTGAAACCAGTTCATTATCACGCACCCACGACCTGGGCTCTAATTAGAGGATGAATACAAGGACCGGAAGTTCTTATTCTTGAATCTTAAAGTCCTGGGGGTCATTAGTGCAGAAATTCAGATTCATTGGAAAACTGAAATAAATGCCTCAGGGTGAAGGTCTCGGCTGACCTTGAACCCTACTTCTTGTCTGTCTAGTCTTGGTTGTGCTGGGTCATAAAGCCATTTTCCATCTGCAGAGGATGTGGGCTGCATTATGCAAAGGCAAATACTTCTTAGAATTCCTAAGCCAGCCTCTCCTCTCCTGAAAGGTCGGCTCTGAGGCAGCATATTTGCCCCCACCACCTCCTGCTCCGCAGGTTTGTAAAGGCTTCTGGCTGATTCCAGAATCACACTTCCAAGAAAAGCCCTTGTTTTCCTGTGCATTTCCTCCAGCCAACTGCAGATCTCCTGGTCACCTCCATTTTCTCTATCAACAGGGGACTACTCCCCAGGCACGAAAAGCCTCCCAAACTTTCCAGGCTATTGTTTGCTTCTCTTAACTGAGATTTGTTTGTTTGTTTGTTTGAAGACAGGCTTTTTCTATAGCCCATGCTGGCTTCAAACTCAAAATCCTCCTGCCTTGGTCTCCCAAGAGCAAGAATCAAAGTCATGTGCCACTATATCCCGCTAAAACTGGTTATTCTTAATCTGGGGTCCACATATACATGGGGGCAGGCAGCGGACACCCTGTAATTAAATGCAGAATGGTCCCTGTAATAAAAGAAACTGCCTAGTGGGCATGGTGGTACATGTCTTTAATCCCAGCACTGGGGAGGCAGAGGCAGCTGGATCTCTATGAAATCGAGGCCAGCCTAGTCTACATAGTGAGTTTCAGGCTGTAGCTGGGGCTACAGGGGACCTGTCTCAAACAAACAGACAAACAAATGAAATATCCTGGGGAGGAGTCATCACTTTCAGTACTTACTCAGCTTCTCAGCAAGGTCTAGGCCTCTACCAAACTGGACTGGAGACCCTCCTTTAAATCAGACCGAAGTGCATTTAGCCTGAGTTCCACTACTTCCTCAGTCCCTCCTCAACTGGCCTCTCGTTCAATACTGGTTGTCTTTTCAGGACCATTTTTTAAGTTTTATGTGTATGTACTGCAAGTGTATATGTATGTGGTGCACATGCCCATCCACATACATGTGGAGATCAGAGGAGGATGTCAGATGTCCTCCTCTGTTGCTTTCTGCTTTGAACCGGAAGCTCACTGTTTCAGCTAGGCTGGCTGGCCAGCGAGTTCCCAGGATCTGTCCCCTAATGCTGGGCTAACAGGTGTATGCAGCTTTTTATGCAGGTGCTTGTGATTCAAACTTAGGTCTTCCTGTTTCACGGCAAGCTCTCTTACCCACTGAACCCCAGCTCTCCAGAACAATTTTTGGAAAAAAAAAAAAAAAGTAAGTTTCAATGCTTCATGAAATTTGCTATTTTCTAGCTATAAACTAACCAAAATGGTGCTAACATGGCGACCCTGCCAGTATGATAGGTTCGCTCACTGGTGAATACCCTGCTTCTGTGCCCTAGCCTGGCAGATTCAGGCATCAACAGAACCTCTGCCTTATAGCTCATCTCTGTAAGCCTTGAAAGTCAAATCTGAGAAGGATAAGGGCAAGCTTCAGCTCAATGGCAGGTGTACACAGGGTGCTAGATCTAGCTGTGCACAGGCAGGGCAGCCACAGGAGAAGAGAGACCAGAGAGGCACAGAGGAACAGGAAAAGCTGCACTGGAGCCTCTGGAGGGGTGACAGGAGGGCTGAGTCTGACAGCTGCCTACTTTAGCAACACCCCCCCCGACCCCCCGGGCCAGTGCAATCTGAGCTGCCACCCCAGTTCCCATGGCTTTGGCAGAAAGGTTAATCACACGGGGAAAATGCTTATTAGAGACCATAAATAACCACTTTGCTAAAGCTCCATTTGGTCTTTAAGGCACAAAGTACAATTTCCTTTGATGGGCTGATTCCATGATTAGCTTTTTGGGGAGGGAGGGAGGGAGGGGTGGCCTGGAGGGAGCTAAAACTACCCCTACCTCTTCAAACTTTCTGAAGAACCAGAAGGACTGGCCTTCCCTCCC